AATCTTATTTATCTGATGAATATCAACCAAATATTTGAAAACAACATCACCGTTATTATTATAAACTTCCAATATCTCTACACCTGTAATTTTGTACAATTCAACATTAAAACACCCTCACTTATTTAATACATCCGTTCTCGTATGCTATGCAAGTGACAACATCAATTCTTATATGTTGATGAGTTCACTATTAAAAGCCTTAGTTAACACTTTCATTTTACTTCAACTCAACAATTATGTCAAAAGTTACAATGGTCTAAATACAACACATCCAATCTCATATTCAAGTCAATTGAGTCAACATGTATACCAACAATTCTTACATGCTCGTTAATTTAGCATTATACGCTTCGATTATTCTCTTTTTTTTTTTTTTTTTAATCAATTAAAATCTTAATAGATACAATATCTCAAGATTTAACAAAGGTTAACTAGAAATTAAGAAAATTGGCAAAACCATCTACAACAGTAATTTATAACTGTAAACTGTAATCCTTAACAATATTTAACTTTCTTATATCTTAACTTTCATTTATATCCTCTAGTAACTTTTCTTATATATTCCTGGGATTAAATTGACAGATATAGCCTTACTTCCACAACTTATATTCTCTCTCATTTTATTTGCATTGGATATAAAGGTCTCTTAAAACAGTTATAGGTTCAATAGGATCCTTTCAACTTAAATCTAGTATACCCATGTACACTTTTCAAAACTTTAATGCTCATACATTTAACAACAATCAATTGTCCTTTTGTTTTTTTTTTTTTAACTACCTATGCTTCTTAAATTTGTATTCACTATAATACCATTATAATTAAACAACAATGGCTCAGCTTGCAAACATTTTCTCAACAAATACTTTTCTATAACATGTAAAACTTACAACTTAGACCATGCAGTATTTATTTTTCATTCTACATATATGCTATTCATAAAGTAGTTTATTATCCATCAGTAAACCATATAAAAATCTCATAAATTGCGCCAGTATCCATATTCATAAACCAGCTCGTCCATACTGACTATCCACGTCTCTCCCTATGGAAGTTTGCATCCAGTCTTTTCCTGCTGTTTCTTTTTTTTTTCTTATGTCATCTGCTTATCTTTTTTTCTGCTGTCCTACTTTTCTTTTGTCTGTCGTCTCTGCCATTTTCTTATATATATACATATATATTCTTTGGCTATCACTGGTCTCTTGGCTTATAAATTTTTCATTTCATTATATGGCGTCATCCAATCCAATCAATTACAATACTATTTAAATGTTAAATAGGCATTACTATATGTATTTATACCTGTACATATGATACAATCTTCTTTTGAATCATTGCTATTTATATATTTTTTTTTTTCTATAAATTATACTGATACTGTGCTTGTGAATCACTGTTCATCCCAACGGATACCAACATCTCACTTTCAATCTAAGTTACATTTGCAGTGATTAACTTGTGTTCACAAGATATTGAGGATTTTTCCTATTCTTCTTTTTTTTTTTTTACTTATATATTCCTGTCATAGCTATACCTAAATCGCCATGCACTGTCCTCTACAGTACAGTAGATTCACAGAAGATAATTGGAAGTGTGGCACAGTATAGGAGTGCTATCTTCATAAAACTGACTAACTTCAGTCTCATCCTCTTTGGTAACAAAGTTATATTAAATAAAACAAACCACATGCTTATAAAGGCATAGCATAAAACACCAACAATCAGGAATTCTCATAAATATATAATGGTTGTATAGAATGGGAACGAATTTCCATGCATGGAAAGTTATGCAGCCTATTAATAACCACATTACCAAGGTCATCAGCAAAGTTTTCTAGAATATCCATATCTCTTTACTTTCCTAACAATCTTGTCTGTCTGTGTCTCATAATTTTCTTCTATAATAATTTTAAAGCTTATGTACTTTGAATATCTTAACATTGCCTCCCACAGAGACTATTTAATAATAACTAATTAATATACAGAAACTTCATTAGTCAAATCATAAAATATTTTATAATCCTGTAGTATACAAATACATAAAAGGTAAGTTACATAAACCTTGTAAAAATAGTATCCAATTTTCCTTTCTCCTCTATTTCACCATATCACAGTTTACATGTATTCACTTAATTCTCTCCCATCTGTCCATACCTATATACAACAAAAGAGTGCTATGCACTCATTTATTTCCATTTTCCTGCCATAATATCTGAATTATAAAGTTTATTATCCAAATTTCACAATTCTAGACCACACTGTTTGACACAATCCATGTGATAACTTCAAGATGAGTTCATTATTAACTCATGAATGCTTTAAACCAGTTATTATCATCTTCTGATATACATTTATTTATATTAATATTCAATAATATATTCTATTTTTTTTTATTCTCTGTACTTCACAAATATATAATACAATTTGAATTTAAACAATTATGATTTCCTCCTTGGTTGACATTTCAATTCCAATACAGATTTAACAATGAATCTGTCCACTTTATAGTTTCTTAGTACTGTCATTCTACAAATGACACTAAATAATAAAACTCAATGGATAACTTAAGCTCAGATCCTTGCAGCAAATCTTCAGTTCATTAGCTTATGCAGTACACAAGATTGGACAATATAGCAATACATTGCAATATATTACAATAGTCTATTTTCATTATTGTGATAACAATTGTCTTATGTTGTACATATTCATATTATAAAATCATGACATTTTGTGCAATTTACTGTATGGAGAGTTATAACTCATCAAAAGGCAAATACTCTCACTGTTGCAACTCAATATATATATATCCAAACATTCTGTATATACACAAATATTAACTTATTTCCAAAAACTTTTATTCATATTCATAACACTAATAGTAAATTTAAAGACAAACTTGTTGCTCAAGTATTGTTTAGAAAATTCAACAGGTTTCTTGTACAATCAATAATACAATCAAGAGCCAACAACATTCATTTCTGGCTTTACCAAAAGCGTTTCTTTAGGTTAAAAGACAACTTCATAAATTATAAAACTACACTAAAGTCAACATGTCTTTTTTACAATCAAGACCCAACAAAATCCATTTCTGGCTTTACCAAAAGCCTTTCTTTCAGTTAAAAGACAACTTCATAGTTTACAAAACTGAACCATGTAAGAATAGTCTTACCTGTAATCTATCACTTTCTAACGTGTCACATATTAATTGGGTGCTTATAAATTCCAACAATCACTTACTAAACATTGTCTCCAATGACAATGTACATAGCTACAGGACCTTTAAGTACCTTTATTGATCAACAATGGCTGCTAAGGGCCCTTCTAATGAATTTCAAGAGAAGCATCAAAAAGTGAACCAATTGCTCAACCATATAATACATTCAATATGAGCATACATATAATATATAATTCCAGCCTAATATGACACCATGGAGGACTTGGATAACATTTCTAGGTGCTTTTTCAACACATTAATAATCAATATCATATGATTATGATAACCTTGAGGATCCTAATAGATCTCAATTGGATTTTATACTAATTAATAATTAAATAAGGAACTATTAATAATAATAGTTTACAGTTATTCGGTTTTTAACATTGTAGTTTACTACCAATTGTTAGCCATTGCTATATATATATTCATATATATATACATTTATAAAATTCAAAACACAGCAAGAAATAAATATAATAATTGTACTATCAGAGTTAAGTACTATTTTCACTGAGAGCTTCACAGCTAATCATGAGATAGCATCTAAAATGTCTTTAATATGTAATATTATGAAATATAACATGTTATGTAGCTTGTATCAGTTTATGTCAACAATATACTGTGTCTATCTATATTAATATGCTTTATTAATTCATTAATAAACACATATCAAAGTATCAACCAATATAATATATATATGACAGTATCTCAATTTGGGAATATAACCAGAATCAAGACATATACCTGGACTATGCCTGTGATTGTCATTTATCTGAAATGGGATCATCAAGCATATATGTGTACCTATGTAAAGAAATAATAACAATTCTTCAAGTCAATTCACGTAGAACAAACACACAAAACTGAACAGTAAGTTTGACTAATTTACTGTGAATTAGCAACAAACTCAGCAATACCATTACACTGTTTATATGTATAACATGGTATGTGTTCTCATGTTCAACCTGTATGTCACATAGTTAATGTAACTGTTTCTAATCTGTTGATATCCTATCATACTCTATCATAGGCATTAATAACATAACAATAGTTACTCTGTATTTTAAACTAATTAGATATCCATGTTGTTTTATACTTAATGTATTCATAATACTTCTTTCTTAGGTATATTGTATACCTCAATATCGTGTTACATGTCATGTCATTACTCTCGCAAGTTATCGTACATACTAAATCTATTTAATATGTAGAAAGCAATTCATCCAAAAGTTGGTATGCGTGTTATTAACGTAAATTCACTTACCACAACTTCTAGTCAGAATTACCTTACGGTCGAATTTGTAGGCGGGATTGGTACCGCTTCTGAACTTTTAAAATCACTAGTATCCTGACGACTTAGGCGTAATACCGGTTAGTCAGGGAGAGAAACACCTCAATGCCTACAATATTCACAATTACCTATCTCTTATTTGTTTTTATAATAATATAAACACTTCAACTTTTTCGCTCCAAAACTCCCGCTGCGTACGTTCAATCATCCGTCATCCACTTGTCAATGTCACATAGATTACTTTGGCTCTGGCCTCTGACGTTCCGTTTCAGGTTACATGATTATTGACTTTACCATTTTTAATTAATGGTGCTGTGACGCATGCTTATTCTAAATTCGAATTGTCGCTAAGTAACATGAAAAAACTGATAAGTCAAATATTGTATATTCAGTTGCAAATTTTCTAATAAGTAATAAACACCTAAAACATTATTTGTAGTTATATTTGCAATATAGTGGCGACCGTGACGAAATAAAACAAAAATAGAACACCATGGATATCTTGAAACGCAAAAGAACACAATTTAGACGGGAATTCACCATCCTATCCGATGCAATAGAAAAAGCATTCGAAGCAAAAGACTCCGAGACAATCGACGAAAAATATACTACACTCACAGATAGTGTCGAAAGTCTATTCGAATGTGAAGCAGCAATTCGCAACCTATGGTGTGAGGATGATAACTTCGACGAACAGTCCTTTCAAGCCGACCAGGACAAAACACTCGAATATCGGGAAAAATGGTCAAAGATAAGGACAAAATATACGAAGTACATAAAAAGAAGTGATCCGCTACAATGTAGTTCCAACCATTCTATCGTTTCAGCTGAAACTATGGTGAAGTCACATAATAACCAATGCAACAACAAACAAAGGCTCCTAATCCCGAAATTAGAGATAATTAAATTTGACGGGAACGTGAAGTCGTGGCTGTTGTTCTGGGGACAGTTCCAGAAGGTACATGATGACAAGGAGATCAATGACTCCGATAAGTTCCAATATCTACTTCAGTCTATGGCAACAAATTCCAGTGCAAGACAGCTAGTCGAAAGTTATCCACCATGCGCTGCAAACTATCCAAAAGCTATAGACGCATTGAAGACTAGATTCGCAAGAGACGATGTCTTAATAGAGACGTATGTCAGGGGCTTATTAACATTAATGCAAGATAAAAATCAATTATCTAACTCTAGTGACCTGCCTGCGCTGTATGATAAACTCCAAACGCATCTCCAAGCACTCGAGACTCTTGGAGTAACAAAAGATAAGTACGCTTCAATCTTATTTCCTATGGTAGAGTCAGTGTTGCCGGAAGAAATACTACGCGCATGGAACAGGCATAGGTCCGATAATAACAAAGGTCTCTCTGAACTTGTCGAATTTTTAAGACAAGAGGTAGAATCGGAAGAGAGAATCCAATTAGCTCGACAAGGTTTCACTCTAACGCCAACAACATCTAGTGAACCAAAGTCCCCTACTATATGTTTCATGTCAGAAACAAAAACACAAACAAAAGAAAAGCGTAAACGTTCCATAATATGCATATGGTGTGATAGGGATTCGCATGGTAGTTCAGAATGTTATAAGGCGGCGAGAATGACTTTAAAAGAGAGAAAAGAGTTTGTTAAATCGAAGAAAGCATGTCCAATCTGTTTAACAAATAATCATCATTTTATGAAGAGATGTAAAAGTTTCCCAAAATGTTTATTCTGTAAAAAACGGCATTTTACTATAATGTGTCCGGATATAGATGAACAAGGACAAAAGAAAAAGGAAATATGTGAGAATGAGGCGAACAATTTATTATGTCAATTAAAGCCTACAACATTACTACAAACCGTGGTAGTGGTAATTAAGTCTGGAAATAAAAAGATTCCTGTCAGAGCTCTTATCGATAGCGGGGCTCAAAGATCATATATCAAAAAAGATATTGTTCGAAAATTGAATTTAAAGTCAACTAGAAAAGAGCGAATAACTCATTGTTTATTTGGCGGCATAGAAACGAAAACCGAAGAACGTGACGTTTTTGACATAAGTGTTGATAGTGTTACTAATGACTTTAGTTTGAATTTATCAGTTTTAGAACAAGACAACATCTGCGGTTTTTTACCTAAAATAAGATCGTCTGTAATAATTGAGCAACTGCGAGATAAAGGTATCATTTTGACTGACAAAGTAGACTCACCTGATGACGTATGCTTATTATTTGGAGCCGACTTCTCTGGAGCTTTACTGACCGGTGACATAATCCACTTAGAAAACTTGACCGCTATAAAAACTAAATTAGGATGGACAATTCAAGGACCAACTACTGGTATTTATAGTTCTGTAGTTACAATGACAACAACATTACATTGTTTAACAAAAATTGACATTTCAGATCTATGGACATTGGAGACTTTGGGTATTACAGATCCAGTAGAACAAAGTAATAAAACTCAACAGGAGTTGAAGGTTTTACAATCATTCCAAAAGTCAGTAAAGATCAATGAAGAAGGTCGTTATGAGGTATGCTTGCCTTGGCGTGACGTTCCTCGTCCATCTGCTAATTTTGAAGTAGCGAGAAAACGTTTAGATTCCACGATGAAAAAATTACTGCAATTAGGTAAGGTAGAACAATATGACACTGTATTTAGAGAATGGCTTGCACTAAATATTATTGAAGTAGCACCCAATCAAGATGTTAAAGGTCACTACATGCCACATCACGCAGTTATAAAGGAATCGAGTCTTACTACAAAAATACGCCCTGTTTTCGATGCGTCAGCAAAAGACAAATGCGGCATATCATTGAACTCTTGTTTAGAAAAAGGCGTCAACTTACTTGAACAAATTCCTCAACTTATGCTTAATTTCAGAAAGGAAGCTATAGGTGTAACAGCAGATATTGCTAAAGCATTCCTACAAATATCAATAGTTCCGGACGATCGCGATTATCTACGATTCCTGTGGTGGTCTCATCCAAGTAATATGGATAAAACTATCGTCACTTATCGGCACAGACGAGTTGTTTTTGGAGTAGCCTCAAGCCCATTTCATTTGATTGCGACTATAAATCATCATTTAGATCATTGTCATGATCACCTGAAACAAACAGCAGAACAACTGAAAAATTCATTTTATGTTGATAATTGTGTGACCAGCTTACCATCAAAGGCAGCATTAGATAAATTCATCAATGAGTCCAAGGAACTAATGATAAACGGTAAATTTGATCTTAGAGGTTGGGTATCGAGTCCAATATTAGTAGATAACAAGGTCGAAAATATCTCTATACTAGGTGTACTATGGAATATAAATGGAGATAATCTCAGATGTAACTGCAATTCTTTAAAAAATATAGATGAGAAAATAACAAAACGGTCGTTATTGTCTATAACACAAAGAGTTTTCGACCCAATAGGTATTGTATGCCCTACTACCATCATTCCAAAAATGATAATACAGGCGGCATGGACATATAAACTTACCTGGGATGAAGAGTTACCTCAAAACCTTGCAAAAGATTTTAAAACATGGCTTAGTCAAGCTCACCTTATTAATGAGTGTGTAATACCTAGACGTCTCACTAGTTCACCCATAAATGAGAGTAAAAACTCATTACACGTTTTTTGTGACGCTAGTAACAATGCGTATTCAGCATGTATATTCTTACGCGCGGATTACAACGGGAAAATAGACGTACGACTAGTTATGGCGAAGGCTAGAGTGACACCATTAAAGAAAATTACTATACCTAGACTCGAATTAATCGCCGCGACGCTAGCGACCAGATTGGCTGCAACTGTAACAAAAACATTAGCTTTACAAAATTGTCCGGTTTGGTATTGGACAGATTCGAGCGTTGTACTGACCTGGATCAAAGGAGACGGTGATTGGAGTATCTTTGTGAAAAACAGAGTTAAAGAAATAAAAAATTCTTCCTCTTCTACAGCTTGGAGACATGTTCCTGGAGACAGCAACCCAGCAGACTTACCTTCTAGAGGCATAAATCCAAAGAGGTTACTAGAAAGTAAATGGTGGGAAGGTCCTGCTTTTTTATTATTAGATGAAGAAGATTGGCCAAATGAGAAGTTTGGAATTGACTATAAAGAGGTAAATCAAGAAAGGAAAAAACATTGTATTCAGTCTATGCTTATTGAAGAAGAATTATTCTTAGAAAAACTCAGATATTTTTCAAATTATATAAAAATAGTCAGGATGATAGGTTGGATGTTAAGAATAAAAAGAAAACCAAAAACAACAGACTTGACTTACGAAGAGTATGAAAATGCTGAAAGAAAATTAATAAGAATAATTCAGAGTAGGTATAAGGATAATATAAATATGAAAAACTTGTTACTATTTACAGATGATAATGGATTATTACGACTGAAAACAAAAATTGATAAAGGAACTGAAAGGTATGATTTTAAATATCCTATAATACTCCCAAGTGAAGAGCCTATCGTACAACGTATGGTACAACAACGACATATTACTCTTCAACATGCAGGTGTACAATCACTAATGTGTAATTTGAGAGAGACATTTTGGATTATAGGGTTACGAAAAATAACAAGAAAGGTTGTTAGTAATTGCATAAGATGCAAAAGATTCAAAGCAAAGAGTTGCTATGTTCCTACTGGCAGCTTACCAACAGATCGTATGGAGGCAAATATGGCATTTGAAACCACTGGCGTGGATTTAGCAGGTCCACTTATGTTACGATCAGAATCAAAGGTATGGATTGTCTTGTTTACTTGTGCTACATACCGGGCCGTCCATTTAGAGCTCGTCGAGTCCTTATCTACAAGAGATTTCATAATGGCGTTAAGACGGTTCACAGCACGAAGAGGTAGAGTAAAAACTATATACAGCGACAACGGTACCAATTTTAGAGGACTAGATAATTCATTCAATACTCTTGATTGGAATGAAATATTGCAGTTTTCTACCATAACAAGGATCAAATGGAAGTTCTTACCTCCCAGCGCACCTTGGTGGGGAGGGTTTTACGAACGGCTTATTGGCACGTTGAAACAAATTCTTCGAAGAGTGTTAGGTAGAGCATCGCTTTCATTCGTCGAGTTGCAAACAATACTTTGCGATTGTGAAGCTACTATTAACAATAGACCTCTGACTTACATAAGCAACAGTCAAGATGAACTTCGAGCATTAACTCCATCTATGTTTATACAACCGCAGGCACAGTGTGAAGTAAGAGATTTAGATGAAATTGATAGCAAGTCATTGAATGTAAGAGCAAAACACTGTCAAAATATAAGAGACGCTTTCAGACAGCGGTTCAGAAAAGAATATATCAGTACGTTAATTCAACCTCGTAACAAGAAATACGCTCAGCTACAGTGTGGTGATGTGGTGCTAATAGAGACAGAGGATAACAGACGGATTAATTGGCCGTTAGGTATAGTGGAGGAACTTTATGACGGTACAGATCAATTCTCTAGAGTGGCCAAAGTTCGTACAGCTACTGGAGATAGAGTAAGGCCTGTTCAACGACTATTCCCATTAGAAATACGACACAATGTTACCAATAATCATGATAGTGATACATCTAATGGGACAATGACTGAACAAGACATGACAGAAGAAGTCCATGACAACACAGACTCTACGACACGAGTATTACGTTCACGTAGTGGTCGCGAATTAAGACCACCACGATATCTTAACGACTTCACATGTTAAATATTATCATTATGTATATTTCACATATCATTGTTCACCTCCCGGTTTTTCTCGCTGCGGACTGTGACGCATGCTTATTCTAAATTCGAATTGTCGCTAAGTAACATGAAAAAACTGATAAGTCAAATATTGTATATTCAGTTGCAAATTTTCTAATAAGTAATAAACACCTAAAACATTATTTGTAGTTATATTTGCAATAGGTGCGTCACACGATAGTTAACATGATAATCAATGAAAAATAACAATTATTCCTTGCAATAATTTTATACTCTTCTAAAACTCTCTGGTATGGATGATCGGAGTTTTATAGATCAAAAGCTAGTCTTATTTTCGTTAAGCCGAAAGCAAGTTTATTTGCTATAACTACATGTTTGTTTTTATATTGTTTGAGTATAGAAAATCGTCATCGTCTGTAAAAGTGAACGTGATAAAGAATTAATTTAATCTTAGAAAATCAATAATAAGTTGACTTTTGAATATCTAAACTTTTGACATCCCTATCTTTCAGTTTGCCTTTAGCACAGAGTATAGAGTATTATGTTCCTTGAAATATATTATCTATGGGCTCAGATTGAAAATAATTTATAGGTTACAATTTTTTAACTTACTAAATACTAGTAATAGTACAATTGTTTGAAATACTTCATTTGCTGAAATGTACTTTAATTAATATTTCAGTATTTCTTTATTTCTCATATTTAATTTCTAAATGGCGCTACAGTTTGGGGTAAAACATCTGTTTCCTGTAAGCAAATGCTTGGTTAAAAATATACTTTTGAAAAATGTTTGTAAATATAGTTCTAAGAGTACCCCTACGACAACCCATGCCCTTCAGGATATTACTGACTGGGAAACATTGAATAAAAAGAAAAAAACAAGTAAAGCTATGAAAGCGTACTTAGAAAGAGCTAAAGAACATGATGAATTTATGAAAAAGCAAGAGTTCGAATTCAATATTGGTAAGAGGCACCTAGCAAATATGATGGGTGAAGATCCAGAAACATTTACTCAAAAAGACGTTGACCGAGCAATTGAATATTTGTTTCCTAGCGGTATTTATGATCCTGCAGCTCGTCCTCTAATGAAGCCTCCAGAAGAAGTATTTCCAGCGCGTAAAGCAGCTGAATTTGATGAAGCCGGAAGACCACATCATTTTCTATTCTACACAGGAAAACCAAATTTTTTCAAATTGTTATATGATGGTGCTGAACTTATACAACAGGCTTATGATTTTCAGGACAAGGTTACTAGGAAAAAGGCAGTACCTGATCCTAATGGTGAGCTCAATATAGGTAATAGTGCATGGTTGACTAAAGATCAACTTGAACAAGTTCTAGTAGAGAATATCACAGACTTGGAATATGATAATTTCAAATTATTAATGGAGAGATTAGTGTCTCTTCCATACTCATATAGACATAAAGAATTTATAGAGAAATATCAGAAGCCATTGGCTACACAAAAGTTTGCTTTAGAAATACCTAAACCTAGCTATGATGATGAAGGCAGAGCCTTTGTGACTACATATGAATGTTTAAGAAAAAAAGCCAGAGGCGATGTGACTATTCGTGTTCCTGGAACTGGAAAGATTACTATAAATGGTAAAGATTTGACTTACTTTGAAGATATACAACCTAGAGAACAAGTTATGTTTCCATTATTCTTTACTAATATGCAGCAAAGTGTTGATGTGGAATGTAATATTGAAGGTGGTGGACCAACAGGTCAATCTGGAGCTATTAGATGGGGTATTGCTTGGGGTTTACGAAGTTTTGTTGATAAACACATGTTAGAGAAAATGCAAGTAGCTGGTCTGCTAACTCGTGATCACAGGCGTCGTGAACGTAAGAAGCCTGGCCAACCAGGAGCTAGAAAGAAGCCTACTTGGAAGAGGCGATAATTAGATTTATATGCAAATGATACTAATAAAATTACACCATTTATTTTAGTTTTATTAACATACACATTTAGTTATCAAGTTAATAAATTATTATTTTACACAGCATCAGCTTTTTCTTTTGTTGTAGCTCTTTTTTAATGATTTTTTCCTCCCTCCAATTTTCTTTTGGAACATTTGGTTCTTTCTTTCTTTGTTATATATACGTTTCTTCATAAGTGACTTTAGTCCCCTTCTTTCCTTTTGTACATCCTCTACACTTGATTTGTTAAAGAAATCTAAGCCATCTGAAAATAAATAATATTTTTTTGCATTACTATTGACTACAGATTACCTGTGCATCATAGGGACAACTAGCAATAGTAAGCCATCCTGAAGAATTTAAAGTTTCAGCATTGAGTATGCATCATTGGACACAGATAGGCTACAGTAACAATTTACCATGAGTTGTGCCCTATGCTTGTTTCCAACATCTAGTATAAAAAAATACTTCAAGATATTATTACATAGATTTATTAGTAGATAGATTTATTTCAAGGGACTGCATTAACAAACGAGGAAATTTGCCACCAAGTAAACATTGGTAACCATTGTTTATTTTATAGACATGAGTGGTGCCCTATGTGTGGTCAGAACATCATTAAGGTGCTTTACTAGGTTACATTCACATACTATTTCTAAGAAGCTATATTTCCCTCACAGGTATCTCTGCAGACACTCCAAACATGGAACTACTAAATGCCTAATGATAAAACTAAAATTTTAGTCTGAGAACACCATTAGGGGTTTGAAGCTTGGTTGAAGCCGTCACAATTGGGTTCCCATTGAAGAGGAACAAGAGAGTTAAGCTATAATTATTACTAAATAAGTATAAAGAACATTGACCTTTAAGCCTGCTATCCAGATTTGAAAAAAATAAATTTTCTTTCCATACTGCTTTAATTTCTGTTTTTTCGAACACCTTTTCATTTTTGTCTTCCTCAACTTCAGATTCCGATGAGTCATATACAAATGGGTTTTTTTCACCAGGATCAAGTGGATTTTTTATTTTACGTTCTTTATTTTTATCTAATGATACATATGTAGAGTCTTGGTCTGGGGCCTCTGAAAAAATATCTATATAAAAAAAATATCATCCAATACTAATAAAAATCAAATCAGTTACTAAAATTAGACTATGAGGTACATTTTGTAAAAAGTCGTTTAATGGGTGCCTTAGTTTACTTAATGCAGCCGCATTTCGTCAATGATTTCCTCTCAATCAAAAACTTCTAAAATGGTTAGGATATTAAAGCCTCTAACCACAGAACCGAATACCATCGGAACCGCAACTGCCTTTCACTAGGCCTCATAATACAACTACTTTAACCATTATAGAAGTTTTCAACCTAAAACCTGAAGGAATTGGTCACATTGACCTGTCGCTAACTCGCCAATCGTAATTTTAGTTATAAATAAATTATCTAAATATTTAAGTGCATAATTGTTAGATACCTCGTTCATAGCTTTCATTCTTAGAAAACAAACTTCTAAAACTAAATGTAGTTGGTTGTTCAAGAGTATCTTTTAATGTATCACTGATTTTATAGAATTGTTCTTTTGAAACCTCTATTTTTTTTTCTTGGTCTAAATTTTCTAATGTAGATTCCACTTCATGAATGTCTTTAGATTTTTTCTTTTTTGGTTTCTTCTTATTATCTTGTATGGTCTCTTCTACCGGTGCCAAGAATTTTGCATGGTCTGGTTGCATGGGATCAAATCTAAGCATCCCTATTTTAGACCTTAAAATATTAAATATTTATTTATTATCAATTTCTTGTACACAAAATTATTGCACAATTGTTAACAAAGAACAGAGATTGACAAAGGGTAAGCTAAGTATTCTAGGTGTTTAGTAAAAACACACACACAAACTAAAAATATAATAAACTAGTGTATCATAAACTATTACTTTCCATATAGCAAACCTGTCAATTGTATGTTCAAACTATGTTATAAGAATAATAATACATATATCTTACTTGTTCTTTTTATTATCTTTAGAATCATTAGGCTGGGTGTGATATGATTTAATGGTGACTCCAAGCACATCTTGTAATATGTTAAGCTGTTTGGCTTTCTCATCTATTTGTACAACTGCCACAGCCTCATCCTCTTCTATATTTTGTTGTTGTTTGTCAATTTCAATGTCAGATTGTTCACCTTCAATGAACCTTTCATCTAGTGTGAAACGTTTATCACTTTTGTACTTTGATTGCAAATCTAAAACCTTTATTAATATTATATTGTAAGTACTTTAATAACAAAATGGTAGGATTAGATAAATTATTCTCCTAGAATACATTGAATTAGATTGATTTTTTATTCCTAAAATACTCCAGTAATATAATGCCATAATATTTCACTACTAAGACATATATTCTAGCTAATGTAGACATGAATTGAATAATATTAAATATATAATTTTGTACTACATAAAGGCTATAATTAGTGAAAATTAGTTTGTATTTCCTAACAAATATACCAAAAAATAATATACTTATAGGTAATGATAATTCTTTCCATTAAATGTTAAGGTAATAAGAAGATAAGAACAAACATAATTTCTTTAGTATGCAATATTATGTACCTTTTGACCTTGTTTTCCTTCAAACTGTTTTTTTATTTCAAAATTGACTTCATTATCACTGTCATCATCATCAAACAAAGTATTTGTGTTCTTTTTCTTATTATCACTAACAAGCAGAGTGTCTTGTTCATCATCTCTAAATATTATCTTCTTATTTGATACTTTGTCCTAAAATTAAATAGCATGTTCAAGTAAATTCAAACAACAGTACCTTAGACATATTTCAAATTTAAATTCATTATTTAAAAATAAATTTATTTTACTTACTATATCACCTAAATCAGTTTTTACAATCATTTGTTTAAGCTTAAAATCTTGTCTTTTTTGTTTAATAGATTCCATTCTTTTCCTATCTGCATCTTGCTTCCTTTTATCCTTCTCAGATACATTGTTCAATGCATTGTCAGGAATACAATCAACTAATTTACTATTGACATGTTTGTCAAATGAATTATTAACTTTAAGCCCAGATTTATTGCAAGTTACACCACTTGTATAACTGTTTGTATCATTCTTCCTTTTACGAGGATTGAGTTTTTCTCCTAAGTTTAGAACTGGAATTGTTTTGGGTAATACTTGCTGATGTATTTCAATCTTAAATGTAATGTTTGATAATGTATTGACATTATATATAATTAACAAGTATATATAGAAGTATATATTACAATTAATTACATTCTAAATTAAAATATTTTATTTACACTTGTATTTTCTATTATTGATTCTCTCATATTTGATTGTATTTTTATTAATCTAAATGACACAATTAAAAAAGAAACTAAAACCATATTGGTACAATATGTCCATTTATAGAGGAAGATTATAAACTATAATACCAGGCTATGACTAGTTATAATGGAGTAGTAATAGTATGGGTGAGTTAGTTACAAATAAAAAATACAGTATTCAAAATAGTTCTATTGACATTACTAGAAGTATACTACCTTCTCACTTTCTTTCTTTTGAGCTAGATCTCTTTCTCTTTGTAGACGATCCAAAAAACTTTCACGAGCTCTAGTTACATATAGCTGATTACCATTAAATGCTTCATTTCCAAAATGCTTGATACCTGGATAAAAATATAATTCACAATATTATTTTTATATCATTATATAAAACTTTATAGTACAATTATGCAGTAATGTTTATTTTATTGATTAATAATTCCAAATCTACTTACATGACTCAATATCATAATTTGTAGCCGATAAAGTTACAAATGCAAAAAGTTTCTGTTGATTGTCATTACTTGTTTTGCTTTTTATATCACAATTGGTTATTTTCCCATAAACAGAAAAGGCAGAACGAATTTCGTTTTCATTTGTGCTTTCAGGTAGATTCCCAACGAATAACCGAGTTTGTAAAGACATTTTTGTTTATAACTTTAAAAAATATATAACAAATTATATTAAAATCATATTAATTTCGTTTGTACAGTTACGCATTAGTATACTTCTGATCTCTGATGAAGTAATGCTTCGACTATTGTATTTTAAATATTATTAATAATGAAGCAACGTGAAAAGTAAAGGATTATCGAGACACCAATATGCAAAAAGTTATAGGTTAGACTTCACACAGTACATAAAACAGCATTCCACAGAATGACATCCCAATGTACTTTTTTTGTTTAGTTAATTCGTCACCGGGAAAGGCAAAAGAACTTAACTATACAACCAAATAAATAGTAACTATACAACCAAATCAATCTCAGTCATATTTGACATATGAAATAATGTTGAGTAACGGACCAACCGATCTGACGAGTCGTAATTGTCTTTTTTTATCTGTGCTGCACATAGTTTTTCTCATCTGTGCTTTAAACGAGCAAACCGTTAGGTACAAACAAAATTGTGCTGCTTGAAACGCCGAGTTTTGAAGAATCAGAAATTGTATTGTGATTTCTTAAAATATTGTCTTTCGTAATGTTATAGCATCTCGATTTTAATTGTGAACCGAGTAATGATTTGCAAATTAATTTTAAGTGGTTATTTATAAACTTTTAATCGCATCAAACATGTCAGATAGTGAAAATGATTTTTTACCCAATAATGTGTTTACTTACCAAAATGAGAATACGGTTAGTTTCTTAAATATTAATACATAAATAATATTTAATTTTGTGTTTAACGTACTATTGTGAATTATTTTAGGACTTTGTTTACTGTTCTGATTTTTGTACTTTTGTTTTAGACATTTAGTGCCCGAGGACCTAACATAAATGCTACTAATCTTACTGGTCTAAGCTTCAGAAATAATGTACTGACTTCAACAATGAATATGTCACGCCGTTTTGATAATAAAAGACAAATGGAACATGCAATGGATAGTAGACGCTATTATAGAAGAGATGTTTCTCCAACAATGTCATTGCGGAGTGCTTCAGACTTCAGAATGTCTAACTATCGTCAATCACACTATCCTCGTGCCATGAGTTCTCAAAGATCAATGTTTAACGGAAGAAGTGGTTCACCAATGTCAGTTAGAAGTATAGGTAACTTTTATTTATCTATATGTTACTAACTGTTACCTGAGTATGTACCAGTCAAAACTTGTTCAATGCATTATCAAAAATTGTCAAAAAAGTATTCAACAATAAATAATAGACCATGTCGGATAACAAGGGGGCCGATTACTGCAGGTCCACTCTATATGTATTTTTTCCTGTTATATGCTGCTTATTGACAATATATTTATATTGAAAAATAGTCCAATATGATATTTTTACTTAACTAGTTATATGCAATTCTAGTGTTGGGGCTGATACAATGAATCTACACTCAGAGGGTGTCAATCAAGAGAATCTTAAACTCCCCAATTACTTTAGTTGTAAGGCCATTTTCTACGTCCATATAATATTGACTAGTTGCTTCTACTGTAAGATTCTATTTCTATTACATTGTGTTTAATATACATATTTCAAAATAACTTTAAAAAATATATATAGATATATATTTTTTGCTATTGGGGTAAAATGAAGATAAAAGTTTTTCTTAAACACTCATCACACATCAATTAACTAAACTATTAATTGATAATACTACATGTTATATGAGGATAGGACTATGTATATGTATAATTAATATAATTTATCATTTTAGACACCACAACAAGTGTGAGTGCTTCGGACATAGCACTTGCATTCAAAAACATTAATTTCAATAAACATGATATGAAGATTATTAAAGAAGCATATAATAAATTCATGAGGAGGAAGATTCGGAAAAAAATTGAGAAAAGAAGAAATCTAAAATTGTATCTTAAGGGTTACAGACGGAAGTCAGGATATGACTCAGGAGAATTGGGAAGTGATTCATCAATAAGCAGTGATGGATGTAGATCTACATGCACTGCAATGTATAAGGACAACATGTCTAGTTGTAGATCGACTAGAACTGATATTATGGATTTACGAAGGGCAATTCGAGAAAACAACATGTATAATGATTGTACAGAGAGTTTTAAAAGTGTATTCACAAATAGGGTACCTGTTGGATGTGAAAGCATGAACAACCCATTGGAAAACAAAATGCATATGCCTTCTATGCATGTAAGAAAAAATCTAAATCTAAATGTAGAACACAGTAATATTCCGACAACACAAAAACATAGATTTAAATCTACATCTCTCTTGCCATCCAAAAGGTTCCATCCATATGGTGCACCTACAAGTAATATTAGCACACAACATTTAAAAAGTAGTGAATGCAGAACAATTTTACCCAGAAATTATGGGGAAGAAACAGATAGTGATGACAATGAAATATTTTCTGAAATAACAATCAGAGAAAAGACTATTAACAATATTGAGAAAATACATGGTATGGAACTTACAAATCAACATAAAAGAGGAATAGGTATTGATGATCCAAAAATTTTTGATAAAAAAAGAAAGGAAGTGGATTCATCATCACAGATAAATTTAGAATTGAAACATAAAAATCAAAATCAGGAGCATAAGGAACAAAATCATGCATCTAAAGAAACTCAAGACATTATAAATAATAAGAAACAAGCTAAAAATACAGACTTTGAATTTATCAAACCCCAGTGTCCTGTAAGAAAATCTAATCAAGGCAGGATTAAAGAGGTTTTGCTAGCCAAATCAGCTCAACCACTGATTCAAAAGCAATCACAACCTCCGGAGTGTGTTGAAGAGAAAACTAAAGATCACCCTTGTGAAAATAGTAAATCTGAATTATCTCAACAGTCTGAAGATGTCTCAATGAGACCAAGTTTTATTAAAAGAAAGTTGTATTCTAAAAAACTTGACCTTATGGAAGGCAAAAATGTCAGCACTGATAATATAGTTGCAAATAGCCCACAAGGGAATGTTTATAGTGCTATACAGAAAGAAAAACACAAAACAAGAAAGGTGGTTACTAATCAATCATGCTTGAATCGTGATGTGTTTCAGGAGGATAAAAATTTGCTGGATTTAATTCACAAGATAGTACCACCAGATCGAATGAATAGGACAAGCTTGGCTAACAAAACTGATGTCAATTATAAAAATAATTTAGAGGATGAAGATAAATGGGATGTTACCTCTGTTATAACCACATGTAATAATGACGATGTCAGTGACACTTACACTGATGAGGAAATATTTAAGACAGATGATAATATTTTAAAAACAAAGAATAATGTTAATATAAGAAATATAAAAAATAAACATTCACCATTGGAATGTAAGGTAGTAGTCAAGAAATTATCAGAAAGCAATAAATCATCACATGTACAAAAAAAGACTGAAACAATGAAAGGTAATACAAGTGTGGAACAAAAAGGTAACATTTATTCATATATATTGTTGAGTTGGAATATTAAATCTTAATTAATTATATAATTATCTAATGTATTTATTTTTCTAGATTTGAAGAAAAACAAAATTTATAAATGTGTAAAATCATTTTGGGACACTGATTTTGAAAGTGATTCAGAAAATCATGAGAAAAAATCAAACACTCAAGTGAATACTATTTCAGGTAATTATTACCATTTCTTTTTTTGTATTATTGTGTTACTTTTATAAAACCAATCTTTATGAGTATCATATATATAATATATATGTGATTAGGGGCCATTCAAGTAGTATGTAAGCAGATTTATTGTAATATTTAACTCTCCTTCTAATACTTAACTTCATGACACTTGCCTTCTGCTAAGTTGGATTAAGATAAGAAGAACTCACTTTGACTGGACTATACTTTCACTGGGAATATGCTGTATTGCTATTTCTTAATATAATAAGTATATTAAATTTATTTAGTGTTTTTCTTATAAAAAAATTAATGTATAAGAACAAAGTTTATATAACATGATTATTTTTTACAGCAATCGTAAATCACAAGAAAATAAATACCGTAACAAAACAAAAAAATGTTTTAAAAGTAAATAATCACTTGGAAAAAGTACCAGTGCTTAGTAATAAAAGTTTAAATAGGACACGACAATCTCCTAAACTGATGAAATGTTGTATAGAACCTGCTGTTTCTAAACCAAAACAAGTAGCAATAGATGCAAAAAAGTCAAAAGAAGCAAATTTGAAACAGAAGCAAAATAATATCCAAAAGAAAACAAATACATCAGTCATTAACAAGATACAACCAAGTAAAAAAATTATATTAGAAATTAACTCCTCTTCAAATGATTCCCCTATGAATAAAGTTACAAAGAAGAAAAATAATACAATGCATGTGGAAAAATCATTAAACCTTATCAATTCATCTTTGGACAGCACCACAGACAAAATAATTAACAGAAGTTCTCTTAGAACACGAAATGTATCAAAGAATAGAGTACAGGAAAATGATGTTGAGAAATCTAAACAAGGTAGACCAAATATATTTGAAACAACATTTAGAACATTGAGATCAAGGCAAATAGATTTATCTTCCTCAATTACAGATAAATCTAATTTAGATGAGGAAAACAATCAAAAGAAAAATAACCGGAAGTCCAATAAGTCAAGGAAGAAAACAATATCAAGCAAATAAAATATATATTAAAGTGAAAGCTAACAATATTGATTGTTAACTGCTATGCTATGATTTGTACTTAGCATATAATTATTGGACTATTTTCTTAGACCATAATTGATATAAGGGTGTACGTCTTTTTATGTACGCATGTATATATATATCATATGAATGCCTCTATCTCTTATCTGTATTTTTCCCTATCCATATACAGTTGATATTAAATCGTTATAAAGTCGTAAAAACCGCTTTTAAATCACTTGTGGATCAGTCGCCAAGAGAAATCTCTCACATAAAAACATTGTACCATATTCCGTAGGAGTGGCAATGCATGAGGAATCATGAGCATCACCATAATCTATGAATTGAATACTGTAATGTTGTTTGTTGCATGTTTATATGAAATAATAAGACAGAAAAGCAATTTATAAAAATGCCTAACTCACAATTATGATATATTATGTATAAATTAATTTAGTATTGGAATAATTATGGTCATAGAGTTTGCAACAATAATAACCATCTCTTTAAATGTCACAATCTGTTGCATTTTGCAAAACTATAGTATAAGTAGGTATAAATTGATGTAGTTTTATCTAGATTATGATTGTTAGATATGTTATTAGTATTATTATATTAGAATTAAAGATGAAGAAAAAAGAAGTAATTGGATGTCTACCAGTGCCATATGTAAATTCATAACTTCCAAGTGTACCAAATTCATCTTCAAATACTTTCTAACTATATTTTTTGCTTGCATAAAATAATTGTGAAATAACAGACCTTATTCACTAAAGAGCACTCTTGTATCTATATCTTAAAGTCATATAATGCAATGTAAATATTTTAAAGTAGTAAAGCAGTGAGTAGGTAAATCATGTTAAAAATTATACTTTCCGAGTATATTGTGCTATTTCCAATTCAGAGAAAATTAACATGAAACTAACATAGAAAAAAAGCCTATTGACTGTAACTAAAATAGGGATCATTGGAATCCATAGGTGTTGAAGAAGATATCGTTTAACATAAAAAAATTGTGGCCAAATAGATTTTGTTTTAATTTACTTGTAAGGAATTGGTACCTTATTTGGTGAAAAATAATACAGTTATATTATATATATATTCTGAAACACTAGGAGTGTCACGTGGTCATTGGCGACCCTTAATTAGCTCATTTGTATTTGACAGAAAATATTTACATACAAGGCACACAATTATTCTTGTGTTAAGATTATTTGTTATTTTATGATTTGATCGACACTACCTAAGACATTAAAATGTACACAAATTTTGTATACGCTTTGAGATAAATAAGCAAATAATATACAGTATAGATATGTCCTTAGCAAGGAGTTAATAATTATATTAATACATATATCTTTTACTATTTTATAATATTTGCCTAGATATGTCCTTGATTTAGAATTTATGTAAACTTAGAATTGTTCCAACTTTAGTATGTTATCTTCATTATTTACGCAAGTTAGATACTTGTAGTTAATTTATTTTCTATGTCTTGACTAAATGAATGGTACAAACTATTTATAATGAATAATGAAATAAGTAAATATTATGGTAATTGTGTATTACTTTTATTTCATTAATTCAAAACGGTTGATTAGCAGTAAATGAATGCATTATTGATACCAAAGCTATTACGCTAGACTTGTTAGTGCACAATAATGTTTAACATTAAATTAGATGGTCTATATATACCCATATGGTTTAATTTTAAATTTATTTACATCGTATTTGTACGAAATTAATTATATATATTCTAACATACATAAGTCTGTGATTGAAACATGATTAGTTTCAGATCCTTACATTTTTCTAGTAGTAGGGTACTTTTTTTTTTTATACTAAGTACCATGTCGAAAGCTTGCCGTTGTTGCTAAGGGAGTGTATAGTAAACTACAATTTAGGACAGAGGCGAATTAAAGATCCAGAGCGCGCTAGGCAATCGCTTTATCGGCGCCCCTGTACTGGTCATAAATGACCATCATAACACTATAAATTTTAACTAGTAGTTTTTGTAATTACAGTGACGTTATATCAGCAAACCCTAGACTTTAGTAGACCAGGACCCTTGTACTTACGCTAATACGCAAATGAAATATGACGTTATTAAGCCTAATGGTAGCCTAACTCTGCAAAACACGCCAGTCAATAGCCTCAATTTACTGTTGACCTGTGTAAGTGTACGCTGTACCATAAGGACTTCAGCACGTCTGCTGTATACCTTATTATCGGCCAGTATGGCAATGGGGACTGATTTGCAACGAAGGTCTTTTGTCAGTCGCTAATGCAACGTGGTCTCCTCTGGTGCTGACCATCAGACAGAGTGGGGCCAATATACTTGGCCACAATTAAAAAAAACAATCAAAATCTTTCCTCGTTATAATATTAGTGTAGATGTAGATATAGCATATATATTCATGTAGAAAAATAATTACCTCATTAAAAAACAGAAACTCAGCAGGACACGATGATATTACCACTAAAATATTAAAGCAGTGCAAAAAATCAATATCTGTTGCATTAGCCCATATAATAAATTTATCTTTACTGAAGGACACTTTCCAACACGATTAAAAGACTTAGTTATTAAGCCTTTGTACAAAGGTAAAGGCAATAAAACTGACATCGATCGTATTGACTGAAAAGCAATTTGGTTTCTGTAACATCAGGGGACTTCACGGAAACATCAATGCGGTCCATCAACACCTTGAGACCGCCAACCCGACCCTTTTATTCCGTACGGAGACCCAGATATCCTCTCCGGCTGATACTTCATACCTACTATACCCCGGGTATAAACTCGATCACAAGTTTGTACGTCGTCGTGAGGGTATGTTTGTAAGTCCGGGGGGATATCTGCTGTCGCCGCCTTCTTGGTCTAGAAGACAAAGACCTGTCTGTTCTTTGAGTATGTGTAGATCAGGGTGACTACACCGGCATCTATGCGTGCTTGTACAGGTCTCATAGCGGTGACGAGGATACGACTCGACTGTTTGAGCACCTTCAATTGACGTCTGATAAAGTTCTTGAGCAGTATCCCTCCGCGAGGTTAGTGATACTTGGAGACTTCAATGCCCATCACACCGAGTGGCTCCGTTCTCGGCTCACCGACCGCGCGGGGAGAACTGCTCACGAGTTTGCTCTGGCATATGGATTCTCTCAACTGGTGCCTTCTTCAACGAGAATACCAGATATTGAGACCCATACGAGCTCCTTACTTGACCTTCTGCTGGCTACACATCCGGACGGATATTCAGCGACCGTGGAGACACTACTTGGTTCTTCAGATCACTGTCTTATCCGATCCCAGTTACCGTGCACAAGTCCTGCCACATCCCGACCTCCGTGTCAACGTCGCATATGGCATTATAAGTCAGCAGATTGGGATAGATTGCGAGAATTCTACGCATCGTACCCATGGAAGCAGTACTGCTTTGCATCAGAAGACGTCGATATCTGTACAGCCGCCGTCACTGAAGTCATACTTCCAGGTATGGAATACTTTATTCCAAACTTTCTTGTTGCTTCAGGGGCGAAAAATCGACCGTGGTTTAATAGGTCTTGCAGACAAGCCAGACAGGCTAAACAAACTGCTTTTCAGGCTTGGACCACGGCTCGTTCTAACAATAACATTGGCGTATCTGATGCGAGGCGGAATTTAAATGCTGCATCTAGGTTTAGTAAGAGGGCAATTGCTAGAGCCAAATTCGACTTCGTCAGCAAAATTGGAGAGCGACTAGCACGACATCCTTCTGGAAGTCGTGCCTTTTGGTCGCTTGCCAAAGCTGCCGAAGGTAACTTTTGTCAGTCGTCCTTACCACCACTACGGAAGCCGGATGATAACTTGGCACTCAGTGCAAAAGAGAAGGCCGATTTGTAGTAGTTGTAATGAGTTTTGTAGCCGTGTCATATTATTGTCCATTGATTGTCAAAATTGATATATTAATAGCAATAGAATTTTTAGTAAATTAAAACCATTTATTTAGTAATATGCGGTTTTAACTTATCAATTTAATTTACTAAAATTTAATTGTCGACTATAAAATATGGATAGATATCTCAGACCAGATAAGTTCGATGTCGACCCGTCTATTAGCTCTGCATCACGAGATTGGGAACATTGGAAAAGAACTTTTCAGAATTTTCTTGCAGCACAACAACAACAAATCGATGCCAATGGAGCGGTCTCTACTATGTCACTACTACTCCAAGACGAAGGTAAACTACAGTTACTCGTCAATCATGTATCATCGCATGTATATACATATATCAGCGAAACTAAAACATACTCTGAAGCAATGGCGGTATTAAATGCATTGTATATAAAGCCTAAGAATATCATATACGCTAGGCATGTGCTTGCTTCTAGAAAACAACGTACAGAAGAATCTATTGATGCATATATGCAAGCTTTAAAACAATTATCTAAAGACTGCGAATTCGTTGCTGTAGATGCGGAAACTAATAAGAATGAGAGCATAAGAGATGCTTTTATTTCTGGTATCTCTTCAAGCAAAATAAGACAAAGGCTGCTTGAAAATTTGACTCTTTCACTTAGCGAAGCGTATAATCAAGCGCTCTCATTAGAGATGGCTGAAACAAATTCCCAAAGTTTTAACATGCCAACAATTAACGTGATTAAAAATTCAGAATCAAATATCGAAACATCAATGGAGAGAGAAAAGTTTGTAGCGAGTACTTATCGTCGCCGTAAATGTTTCTTCTGTGGAGGAAACGTACATCCACGTAGAAATTGCCCCGCTGCAGACGTCACTTGCCAAATATGTGAGAAAAAGGGACATTTTGCAAAAGTGTGTCGTAGTAAGAATTACAGCGCTGCCACAGCGGAACAAGATGATGTTTCGGCGTGCATTATAGCTGCATCACCATTTTCTCTAATCAAAGCTACTGTCCCTGCTTATATCAAAGGCATAAAAGCAGAAGCTCTTTTAGACACAGGCAGTTCTTTAAGTTTCATTAATGAAAAATTCAGTAAATTATGCAATCTCAAGAGTAAACCATGTCATCAAACCATTTCCATGGCTTCGTTGAGTCACACTGCTCCTGTCGCTGGTGAAACGTACCAGAATATAAAAATCGGTAAACATACCTACGAAAATATAAGCTTACTTATTGTCAATAATCTATGTGCTGATCTAATAATTGGTCATGATGTCTTATCAAAGCACTCCTCACTAGAACTATCTTTTGGTGGACCTAAAGAACCAGTAGTAGTATGTAATGTAGCACAGGCATCCGTACCAGCTGTCCCACTATTCGCTAATCTTTCATTTGACTGTAGACCTATTGCTGCTAAATCACGGAGATACAGTGATGAAGATAAAAAGTTCATTGAAGACGAAGTAAATAAACTATTGGCAGAAGGCGTTATTGAAGAGAGTAAATCACCATGGCGGGCACAAGTACTTATATCCAATACGGAAAATCATAAAAAGCGTCTTTGTATAGATTATTCCCAAACGATCAACAAATACACTTTGTTAGATGCTTATCCATTGCCAAACATAGAGGACACAATTTGT